TTTTTTTTTTTTTTTTTTTTTTTTTTTTTTGGTAGCTCTGACTACACTGCTAAGACCAGCCTTGAACTCAAGATTCTCCTGCCTCAGCTTCCGGAGTAGCTGGGATCACAGGCACAAGTGATCACACCTGACACGCTCTGTTTGGATGGGATGAGCATGGGGAAACTCAGAGCACCTCCCGCCCACCAGGAAGCAAGTGCTCCCCAGGCTAGCAAGGGGACTGGCTCATGTTCTTTGGGAGTCTTCATACTAGGATACAAAGGAGAGTCTGCAGAAACGCAGGCAAATGTCACTAATAAGCAAACAAAAATGAGAAACAAGGACTGTTCAGAGCCCTAATGGAGACATCAGAATCCACCCCAGGAAGCTGATCCTGCCCAGAGCTGTTGCCACTGGATTGTGCTAGGAAATCCTGGGCAAAGATAGGTTGGCAAATCAAGGCACTGGTGACTTCTGAGGTCATTTTCCTGTTAAAAATGGAAGATTTTAGAGGCTGGGGAGACAGTTCAGTCTGCGCTTGGCATGTATGCACAAGGACCTGAGTCTGGACTCCGAGCACTCATGCAGTAAAAGCCACAAGGAATGGCTCCTGTAACCCCAGCACTGAGGAGGGTCCCTGAGGCTTGCTGGTCAGCCAGGCTCCGTAAATTATCAGGCACTAGGTTCAGTGAAAGACCCTCTCTCAATAACCAGGGAGGACAGGCTAGAGAGGTGGCTCAGCAGCTAAGAGCATGTCCCCTCCCCCAGATATGAGAGGTACGGTTCCTAGCACTCATATCAGGTAGCTCAGAATCCCCTGCAACGCTGGCTCCAGGGGCATCTGACTTTTTCTTCTGGCTTCTGTGAGTACTTACACTCACATGCACATAGCTCATTTGGACACATAACTGGGCAAAAAAATCTTAAAACCAAAACAAATCCAAACAAAAGAAAAAAACATCTGTTGTAAACCTGTGGTCTCCACATACATGGGTACATACCCCCACACACACACATAATCCCTCCATTAAAAAAATAAAATTCTAGAAAAAAATAAGACACACAAAAGCCTATTTCAAGGCTTATGGACTTCTCATGAATGACCTATTTTAATTATCAACAGCACGCATAAATAAAGCCATCATGACTTCAGAATAAGTTTTAAAATATGTGGCACCCTCATGATCTACTATGAGAAACTGGTGATAGAGAGACCTTCACTGTCATGTCACCACCAGACATTATGAGTCCATCTTTGACATCTTATTCCTTATTAATTGGTGAAGTACCCCTAATTTGAAAACGTGAATTTTAAATGCTCTGGAATCTGAAATGTTCTGAGCATGAGTTTTACATTTTAGAGCAATTCATGATATAGAATTTTGGATGTGGACTGCCCAACTGGTAGGCTCTGCAAATACTCCCAGGTTTGAAGTACACCCGGACCCAAGCAGTTCAAAAAAGAGATACCCAAGCTACTTAGGATTTTGAGAAAGAACAAAAGCAGCTTCAGAAAGTAAGACACTTAGACCTTGTGGGCTAGGCGGCCTACTGTCTGTACCTCCAATGATATGCAACCAACTGTGGAGAGAAAATGATAGAGAAAAAAAGCCTGTATCTGTATTAAACACCTTTTTCTAGACCCTGTCTCTAGACACTATAACTATTTACACAGCACTGACATTTAATTAGGTATTATAAGTCTCTCACAATGATTTAAAGAGTACAGGCTGATGTGCACAGGTTTTTGCAAATACCATGCCATTGTATAAAAAGCATATGAACATCTAATGACCTTGGCATTCATGGGTGCTCATGGAAGCAACCCCAACTTATACCCACTGATGACTGTACGTAGAAAGGTATGTGATATACTTTGTGGAGTGAAAATTATGGGAAATATGTAGGAGCCTTTTCTTTTTATCCTAAAGGTGTAGTTGGATCTCAACAAACAGTAACATCCATTCTAAGGTTGGGTTTCAGGAAAGGGAAAAAGGAACTTTTTACTTTCAATCAAATGTTAAGTGACTATTTAAATTAAATATTTAAAGCTAATAAACTGATGAACATAATGTAACAAAAAAAATGACACAAATCCTTATGCTCTGTGGTCTATAATAAGTACATACAATCATGCGTAAGACAGAAGTGAAAAGACCACCGTCTGTCCAAATAATATTTTTAATAAAGTAAGCTCATGGAAGGTTAGAAATTATGTAAGAAAAATAATAAGCCAGGTGTCTTGGCACATGACTGTAATCCCAGCACTTGGGAGGTTGAACCAGGAGGACCAAAGAGACCAGACTCCATCCTCTGCAACACAGTGAGTTCTTTAAAAAAAAAGAAAGAAGGTGGGGGGAGATGAGGGAAAGAAAGGGAGGGAGGGAGGGGGGGTGGTTAGGTTGGAAGTAGGGGGGGGTGGAGGGAGGGGGGGAGGGAGGGAGGGAGGGAGGGAGGGAATAAAAGAGGGGGATGTAAAATGAGCCAGGGAGACAGCTCTGTGGGTCAAGGCCGCTGCCATCAAGCCTGACAGACAACCTGAGTTCAATCACTGGGACTCACTTATAAAAAAGGGAGAACAGATTCCTGTGAGTTCTCTTCCGACCTCCAAGCAAGCCTGTGACCTCCTCCTGGCCCCACTACTCCCCATCCCCATCCCACCACATACACACATAATAAATCATAAAACTGCTGTGACAAGAACCAAAATGAAGTTCTAAAATAAGGAGAAAACCCAACACTCAAAAGGAAAAATAATTTCACAAAAAATTGACTGAAAATTAGCAATACAAAGTCACGTAAGAGGCATGTTAAAGATAAGACAGTGACTTAACAAACTATAGTTAGTCTGAGTATCTTGGCCTGGTTACAAAAGCATGAATGACCTCACCTTAGGATATGACATTAAAAAGAAGTGACAGCAGTCACACTTTGTACTTACCTGATCCCCGCTCGAGAGTCCAAGTTTCTGTCCAACTTGTCTATTAATTTCTGCCACATTGTCACTTTGATCATTAAAATGCCTGCCTTCCACCCAGCTCACGTAGGTAGGCTGGCGATCCCCAGTGACTTCTATAGCTTGATTCTGTTTATCCAAACAATGGGAGAGAAAAGGGGTTATAAGTTTTTATGGTTTTTTTTCCTCTGGATTTAGATAAGCAACTATTATGAAACAAAAAAAAGTACTAGAGGCAGCTAATCATTTTTTATTCACATTTATAATTTAAAAAAATGATAATTATTTTAAATATCCAGTAGTGGCAATGCTATCCATAAAACCAATATGCTCACAGACTAATTCAAGGGATTCATAATTCAAATGCCATAGGTACTTGGATGAACTTATGCAGGCTTTCAGTATGCATGTGAAAAGAAAAACCTACATACATTCAAGAAAAATGCTTATATATTTAATAAAATAATTAAAATGTAAAAGTATAAAACACAGTTTAGACAACACCAATCAGCTGGGGTATTTAATCTCTTATTGATCAATAAATTTATTTAAAAAGTAATAAATACACATTGTAAAAGTACAAAAATTTAAAAAGGTAAATGTAAAGCTGGGCCCATGTTACTAGAGGGACTCATTGTCAGTGACTTCCTGAAATACTATATTATGCAGTTTCTTAATGATTTTTAAAGTTTGTAAAACTGGCTGGGCATGGCGGAACATGCCTTTTATCCTAGCACTTGGGAGGTAGAAGCAGGCTAGTCTCTGTGAGTTCAAAGCCAGCCTAGTCTGCACAGTGAGCTCCATGTCAGCCGAGGCTGCACAGTAAGACTCTGTCTCAAAAAACAAAACAAATAAGTAAATAAAGGTCATAAAACTGTAGAAACACAGTTTAAACAGGAGTCAGAGAGATGGCTCCTGTGAGGAGGAGCAGTGCTCACACGTGAGCCTGTAGGGACGCCAGCGCTGGCATCCTCTGGCCTCCACAAGTACCATCACATGCATTTTTAATGTTAAGATAAATCCTTAACATTAAAAATCTGTTAGACCAACAAAATGTGAAAATAACATAAAATGTACACCTGTGGCTGAGAGTTAAATGACCAAAGTCCTCTATGGTTAAAGAACTGTATTGGCAGGGATGCCACGGCATGTCTGTGGTCCTAGCACTTGGGAGACTGAGGCAGGAGGGTTGTGATTTAAGGTCAGTTTGGGTCACATAGTGATATCCTGTCTTGAAAACAACAACAAAAACAAAAAAATTATCCTCATCTTGAGAGATATGTGCACTTGGGGGGAAAGACAATCATATGACCTATTTTGTATACTTCTTGCTAACCCTTTTCAGTCAGTGATTCATGTGTTTGTAAGTTATGGACAGGATGTAATGTTTTACTCACATACTATTACATCACAAGCATTCCACGCATTTACCACTCCTTAGTAAAACACAGCAAGCACCTTGATGAATAGTCCTGAAGACTTGTGATCTCAGGAAGCTTAAGTGTTACTTAACTTATTTCCAAATAAATTCATTAACCATAAAATAACGAAGCCAAACTCTCATTTATATCAAATTTCAGCACTCCATGTTTCTTTAAAAAAAACAAATGGCAAAGAATACAGGAGTCTCAGGCAACACGGCTCTCAAACACACTCACTAGTAAACTTCTGTACTGTCACTGTTAGAACTGAAGAGATGGCTCAGTGGTGAAGAGCACTGACTGCTCTTCCAGATCCTGAGTTCAAAGCCCAGCAACCACATGGTGGCTCACAACCATCTGTAATGGGTTCTGATGCCCTCTTCTGGTGTGTTTTAAGACAACTACAGTGTACTTATATATAATAAATAAATAAATCTTAGAGACAGAGAGAGAGAGAGAGACAGTCACTGTTAGCCTTTAATCCCAGCACAGGCAGGCAGATCTCTGAGTTCAAGGCCAGCCTGGTCTACCCAGTGAGTACTGGGACAGCCAGGGCTACACAGAAAAGGCCTGTCTTGAAAGAACAAAAAAAACAAAACAAAAGCCACTGTTTGTCCTTTAGCTGAATAATTTTTCTCACAATTTCCAAACAATGATGCAACTGTCTTTGCTGGCAAAGCTCATTCAACTAAGCACAGTTTGATAAAGTAAAAGCACACCCTGGCTTTGGAGTCAGAAGTCCTGGGTCACTGACTAGGTTACAAGGGCAAAGGTAACAGAGCTCTAGAACTTTTTACATGGTTTCATAAGTTGCTGATATTACAACTCAGTGCCTCCTATTTCATAAGAAAGCTTTAAAACAAGAGACATTAAAGAACGAAATATAAAGTACATCCTGAAATGTCTAAATTATCTATCTACTAGACCACTGGGGAAAACAAAAGAAAAAAATCAGCTTTATCAGACAAGAAAAACATTTCAGTCATTTGGTTTTAGTCAAAATGTAGTTACTAGCTGCACAGTGTCATGAGCTGCACTCAGTGAGGTTTGGCAAAGCAATCTTCTCAGCTGATTTGTAATTGTTTTTCGTCAGAACCATATAAACCTTCAGATAGAGGCAAGTAATAGAACAGAACCCCTTCAGGAATATAACCAAGAAGTGCACTGATTGTTTAGTTTGGCCCACACTGTGTTATCAATATCACCTCGAAAGAAACAATCAGGTGAATCTATACATTCAAATGCCTCAGGAGTGCTTAAGTCTAAGGCCTGGGCTATCTCTTGCTAACATGAGAAAGCGACAAGTCTGCACATGATTTCTGGGTGAGGTGTAGATCCATTTTCTGCATTCAGTGTCAGTAGGAATCCTTTTGCTATTGCAGTCACTGTGTATGCTGAGCTTAAAATATAAGGAGAGTGATTGGAAGCAGTGGTTCTCACCCGGGAGTGACTGTGTCCCTCAAAGACAATTGTGTCTGGAGATGGTTCGAGGTGTCACAATGGGAGACACTAGTCATATCTAGGGAACAGGGGTCACGATGGCCTTAAGTATCTTACAGACCAGGCATGGTGGCTCCTACCTTTAATCCCAATGCCCAGGGAGCAGAAGCAGGTGGGCCTCTGTGAGTTCAAAGCCAGCCTGATCAACATAAGAGAGTTCCAAGCTAGCCAGGGCTACATAGTAAGACCCTGCAATAATAGAAACCTAGCAAGAAGTAAGGGTTGACCAGTATGACCGAGAACTTCTAAGTTAAATATCTACTTGGTACTTAAATAAGGACTTGTGCAAACAAAGTAAGACAAGTTTGAAACAAAATAGTACGTAACAAATGATACATACGCAGCTATGGGCACCAGAGATCCACAGAGCTATGTGGGAGGACTGTACTATTGTTAAAGACCTGGGTTTATATGAAAAGGAGGAGACTATGGTGGGGAGGGGGCATAGAGCCAGCAAAAGAGCTGAGTCAGGAGTGAGATCAGTCAGGTGAGAAAGAGCCACAGGCTAGTGGAGCTGACACAGGGCACATGAGAGCACAAGCAACTGTGTGAAAATGGAATCTGCCTAAGACTCCAGCATCCTTGTGTTTGACAGTAGGGAAATGACCTAGATAACTCAGGTCCTTTCACTGTTAACCTTCATGGTTCTATAGCCCTGGCTCTCAACTCTGTGTATCTAAGTAACCTGAAGATTTATTACATCTTTTAAAAATCTGTTCCTCACAGATTCTGGTTCAGTAAGTTTGAGGAAGAACCAGAATATTTGAATTTTGAAAACCCTGACGTAAATCAGATAAGGGCCATTGTCGTAACCCTTCCTCCCATTAACTGCGTATCCGTGTTAAATATGTAGGGCTTCAGCTCAAATGAAATAATTCAACCTATTAATTCCCAACACATGAACCTTTCTGCTCTAATACTTATCTATGTCTTCTAGCCCAATCTGTGCTGGATAGTTTCAAGTTAACTTGATACAAGTTACCTGAGAGGAGGGAAGCTCAATTAAGAAAATGCCTCCATAAGCTCCAGCTGCAGGCAAGCCTGTAAGGCATTTTCTTAATTGGTGACTGATGGGGGAGGGCCAGCCCATTGTGGGTGGTGACACCCCTGAGCTCCTGGCCCTGGGTTCTATAAGAAAGCAGGCTGGGCAAGCCATTAGGGACAAGCCAGTAAGCAGCTCCCCTCCATGACCTCTGCACAAGCTTCTGCCTCCAGTTTCCTGTCCTGCTTGAGTTTGCGTCCTGGTTTCCTTCAATGAGAGACTACAATGTGGAAGTGTAAGTCAAATAAACCCTTTCCTCCCCAACTTGCTTTTGGCCACAGTGTTTCATCGAAGCAGTAGAAACCCCAACTAAGACACATTTTTTCTGAGAATTCTAAATAACAAAAAGAATGGAAACAATGACCCATAAGCAACCACACTTTACTGTTTCAGTAAAATATAGCTGTCACTTGAAATTTCCAAAAGTTGAATTTAAAAGTTAATCATGGTGAGCAATTCTATAAATTATGGCCAGCTTATGGTGTCATACCAATTAACTGCTAAAAATGGTGATCTCTTAACAAAATAAAAGTCATAGTAACACTACACAAAAACAGGGCACAAAGCCACATGTGTATACAGCTCTGCACTTCCATAAACAGTAAGGACTAGATATAAGTATGCCAGACTTAATCCAAATGTTTAGTATTAGTTATTTCCAGGCACTGGAATTACAAATAACTTTTATCTTCTTTTAAATAATCTTCCTATAAAACAGGTATTTCTTTGATAATAGGGGGTGGGGTTGATGTGTTCTGCTGATACAGGCTTAGAGGAAACAGCAATTTATTCCAAGGCTGAAAACATTTAAACCTTTGAACCAGTTCTCAAGAACACTTCTTCGCATCTCAAATAATAATAATAATAATACCGAGTCCGTGTAATTCCTAAACAGCGATGAATCTAAGGAAGCAACAGCATGTCAAGGTCAAATTCTTAGTTACTGTAAGGAACCGTTTTTCTAAACTCGTGGAGTGGTGAGTTTATCCCTATAAACTCATTAATTTGGAATGAAAGTACACTGACAATCTCAATCAGAAATGACAGGGAACAATGAACCAAGCTGGAATTTGGTGACAGTGACTGATTCTTTTCAGCCACGAGAAAACAAACCAGACTGTTAAAGAATATTTGGTAAAGATAAACTAATTAATAAGAATGATTCCGATGAAATTGGTGTGTTTTGATAGGTGGGTCGTAAAAGCAAGATAAATGTAGCCAAGAGGAAATAAAGGTGAGATATTTGAAGTCATTTCAAACTCTTGGATATTTCTTTTATGAGCCAGTATTCAGGTACCATGCACTTAGGATTTTAGATTTCAAATAGTCTAACCCCACGAATACACTCAAACTAAGAGAGTTTATCTTAGAAAAATATGGATGCTGTATTTCCACCGATGGTTATAGCCTTGAAACACCATGACAGTGATAGTTCTCTGAGGTCCAAGTAATCCTGGCTACTCAGGTGAAAGTGTGAGGTGTGAATAATTCCATCTCCTTGACACCTCCCCCACACCCCATACTCTTGCTGTGTTCGAAGTCCTCCTAAGCAGGGAGACCTGTCAACTTATTAACCTTTGGCACAGGTTGGAAACCTTGGTAATCTACAAACCAAATCTGCCACTCAACGCCTCTACGGCTGTACTGGCAATTCGTTGGCTGGATAATGCTTTAGCAAAACTTGTAAGAGCTCTCTAGAGCTTTTCATCCTGGAGTGAGGACCGCTTCTGGTTGCTGAGGCAGAACCCTAGCATGTTCAGTCTGGTTTAACCGAGTTAAAGGATGCACTAGGAATCCCACTGTAGGGTCTGGGGATGCACTAGCTGCCCGCAGGGGGCCCTCGCTCACGTCTCAGCTCGGGTCAGGTGGCAGACGGTGCCTCGGCGGGGAAAGGTGTCAGCAGACACTAGTCCCACGAGACATCGGTGGCGTCCGCGTCCGGCCAGCGCCTTACCTGCAGCAGGTGAAGCTGGGCCACGAGGCGCCGCGGCAGATGCAGGAAGCAGTCCCGAGCGTTCGTGAAGGCTACCGTCACGACCGTCCCACCAGACCCCGCACCCGCTAAGCGATCACTGCTCCACATTGTCCCAAGGTTCAACTCTCAAGGGAGAGCGGAGTCCACCGGCTTCCCGTCAGGTCAGGGCGTCGGAGCCCGAGAACATCGATCGGGCCCGCCCCCCTCTTCACACACCGGGCCGCCGTCACTCAAGGATCTCTCCTCCGAGGCCCTAGGGGGCGGCACATCGCTCACCGAATTGTCGCTCTCAGGAAACGATCGTCGATGGCGTCGATCCTCCAGCCAATCCTAGCACGCTTGGCCCATCCTGCTCTCTCATTGGACACAGAGGAGAGCAGCTGACGGATGTTGTTCTGGCGCGGAGGACTAGAGCCGGCAAGATGGCATCCAGTGACGGGAAACCTGGTGGCATATTCGACCACCACGTCCAGACGGCTGTGTGTGACTCGCGGGCCAAATACCGGGAGGGCCGACGCCCTCGCGCGGTCAAGGTAGAGTGACTTGGGTTTCTTCGCTTTCCTCGGCAGGAGCACTAACTTCCTGTGAGCACTAGCTCCCCATGGCCTGCCTCCGTAAAGGCGTGACAGGGAAGCTGTCAAGTCCATCTCTCAGTGGAGGGGGCCATGGGGAACCCGATTCCAGGTACCAAAGGTTATCACTACTCTCTCTGTTAACTGCTTACTAAACCGCCGATCCACGATGCTTAGCTTTGTATCCTATGCGTTTACAATAGCACTTCTCACAGGACAAGCCCTGGGTGAGTGTTCGGTGGCTGTTTACATAAACTTCTCTGGAGTCACCTTTTGGAAAAAGATGTCTGTTAAGTGGTTTAGTCAGATACTCATATGTGGAGTGTGTTATTCTTTAGGCAGAAAGAGTGGCAGTTTTGTGTGTGTGTTTTGCGACCAGGTTGAGCGGAGTGTTTCTTGTTTTCAAAGCTCCATTTAACAGGGGGTGGGAGGACAGATTTGCCATAGACTTGTTTGAAGAGTACATTTAACGAGCTCTCTCCCGGCTTTAGGTATATACAATCAATTTGGAGTCTCAGTACTTACTAATACAAGGAGTTCCTGCAGTGGGAGCCATGAAGGAATTAGTCGAGCGATTTGCTTTGTACGGTGCGATTGAACAGTATAATGCTCTAGATGAATACCCAGCAGAAGAGTTTACAGAAGTTTATCTCATTAAATTTGTGAAATTACAAAGTGCAAGGTACGTACAAGTTAAGCAGAACTTGTGTCTTCTATTCCTGTCGCTGTCATTTTGGCCCCAGGTTTCTCCCAAACGTACCCAAATCACACATGCACTTCTCGCTCTCAGTCTTCCTGATTTGGGGGGTGGGGAACAGGATTTATTTGGATAGCCTTAGCTGTGCTGGAGTTGGTTCTGTAGACCAGGCTGGCCTTGAACTCAAAGATCCCTCTGCCTCTGCCTCTCGAGTGCTGGGTTTACAGGTATGCGCCACCTCACCTCGCCTTCTGGTTTGTTTTACCAGGCCTCATTTATGTGACTCAATCACTCTAGCAGTGAGTGGCAGCCCAGCTCTTCCTTCAAGCTTTTAAAAGGCTGACTTTACAACAATTCTCTTCTCATCCTCTCATACCTGTGCTTGACAATTTTTGAACCTGTAGTGTGGTAGATTAAGAATTACATTTGAAGTAAATTTCCAGTCCTATGGCTTAATGACTTTGGAGAATTTTAGTCCTGCTAAGCACGTGTTTTTTTTTTCTTTTCCTAAAATCCATATGGCAAAAGGGTCTACTTCTTGAGGAAGGATGAAATAAAACAATTTATGTAAAGGGATTTGACTGGTACCTCCTATTAAGAGTAAATATTAGAGCTGGGCAGTGGTGGCACATGCCTTTAATCCTAGCACCGGAGAGGCAGAAGCAGGCAAATCTCTGAGGTTGAGGCCAGTCTTGTCTACAGAGTGAGTTCCAGGACAGCCAGAGCTACCCAGAGAAATCCTGTTTCCAAAAAACAAACAGAAAGAGTAAATATTAGTAAGGACAATTCTCATTCATATGATTCTATGTTAATCAACCTTGTATTCCAATAAGGCTGAAGTCAACAATGCTTTATTTTATGTTAACCCCTTTTGGGGGAGGAGTGTGTGTGTGTGTGTACACTTGCATACACACTAGCCTGAAATTGGCCATGTAAATCAGCTGACCTAAACTCAAAACTTCCTCCTGACCCTGCCTACCCAGCTCCACCAGCTTTAAAAGCACGTGCCACTACAGTGTACTCTACTGTATTTTTTGATACTAGGCCCCTCACTGACTCTGGAGCTCATTGACTAGACTGGTTGGCTGTCAAGCTCCAGTGATCCTCCTATCTCTACCTTGCCAGCCCCGGAACTATAGGCACAGTGCTGTGCCTAGCCTTTATGTTCGTGCTCGGAGTCTCACCAAGACACTCACGCTTCAGCAAATGCTTTCTAACTGAGCAGTCTCCCTAGCCCATGGCAGCCATTTTTCCTTTTAATCACTAACCTGGTCTGAACTATATCTTTCTTTGGTGCTTTGGTTCCATCATGAGATGGTTATGATACCAATTTAAGTGACAGGTTTGTAGCTTTGGATGGAGTAATATCTCAATAAACATTAATCATTACCTGTAGATACAGAAGCACTTAATTACTTTTTATAGTGCTTGGCTCAGCATAGGTGTTCAGTATTTTTTTTAAACATTATTTGTTTGTTTCTCTTATTTTTCATGAGTATTTGGTGTGGTTATGTGAACTTTTATGCCCTCTGTGCATGCAGGACCCTGCAGAGCAGAAGAATGCATTTCCCCCTGGAACTCGAGTTACAGACAGTTGTGAAGTTGCCATGCTGGGAATTGAACCTGGGTCCTCTGGGAGAGCAGCTAATGCTCTTAACCCCTTAGCTATATCTCCCCAGCCCCAGAAGGAACACACTCCTTAATTTTGCATTATTTGTTGTCTATTCAGTATTTTCATTCGTGTGTGTATCTAGGAGGGCATGCCATGGCACATGTACAGGAGATGGTTCTTTCCTACCATGTGAGTTTCAGAGACTGAACTCAGGTCACCAGTCTTGGTGACAAGCCCAAAGTTACACATTTTGCTCACAAGTTCTATAACTCAGGCTAACCAGTAGGATCCTGAGTTAGTTCAAAAAAGTCTAGATAAGTGTGTCCAGCTTAGCTGAAAACCTATTACATTATTAGGAGAGGGAAAGGGAAGAATAATTTCTTGGTGCTGGAGAGATGGCTCAGTTTAAGATAGCTTGCTGCTCTTCCAGACAGTTGGAGTTCAGTCCTAGCACCCTTATCAGGTGGCTCACAACAACCTTAACTCTAGCCCTGCTGGATATAATGGCCTCTTCAGGTCTCCGTGGGCACCTGGCACCTGCATCCATATGTATAGACACGCTTATACAAAAATAAATAAAAAGATACATCTTTTTCTTAAGAGTACTTTCTGGGTCAATGGGGTCATTCAAAAACAAAGCATCTTACCCAGCACCCCCACACACACACACACACACACTTTACGCCTTAAAACAAACTATGCAATACCTGTTAATCTTTTATTTTAGGTAAATCTATATTTAAAACGCCATGTCTGGGGAGATGTCTCAGCGTTAAAAGCATATACTACTCCTCCACAGGACCTGAGTTCAATTCCCATCAACCAGGTCATCCAGGCCAGAGCCTCCAAACATACTTACACATAACTAAAAATAATAAAAAATAAATCTTTCTGGGTGTAGTGGTATATGCTTTTAATCCCAGCACTTGGGAGCCAGAGGGAGGCCTCTATGAGTTTGAAGCCACCCTGATCTACAGAGTAAGTTCCAGAACAGCCAGAACTATATAGTGAGGCCCTGTCTTGGGGTTGAGGTGGGTGGGTGATGGAGCCATGCATCTGGGGGCTAGAGAGGTGACTCAAAAGCTGAGAGCACTTCTTGCTATTCCTGAGGACTCAGATTTATAGTTTGGTTCCCAGCATCCATGTCAGATGGCTCACAACTATTTGAAACTCCAGTTCCAGGGAGTCTATCACCTCTGGCCTCTTCAGGCAACTGTACACATGTGTACATACCCACGTATAGACATCCACACAGAAATAGAAACAGTAAAAAATAACTGTGTTTTTAAGCCATGTAACTTATGCATTTCTCTATTAGAGTTCTCTTTAAGTTATGTGTTTCTCTTTAGGCTAGCTAAGAAAAAGATGGATGAACAGAGCTTCTTTGGAGGATTACTTCATGTGTGCTATGCTCCAGAATTTGAGACAGTTGAAGAAACTAGAAAAAAATTAGAAGAAAGGAAGGCTTATATTGCAAGAGTTACTAAAAACCAAGGTATGGAAAGTCTGTGTTATCACCTCCTGTGTATCAGGCACTGCTAGGTATGTGTCACTGTGGAATTCCTGCTCAGTCAAAGTCTTCAGTGACTTGAACCTCAGGGGTCTGTGCCCCACTGTAGAGGCTCAGCTGGGAAGGGAGGGACATTGATTCATGGATATTGCCTCTGGGATGTGAGACATGGTTGACTAGTAGTAAATGGTAATCAGAAGGGAGGTAAAAAGGCTGGCACGGTAAAGCAGGCTACGTGTCAAACACTTCGATAAATTGCCACCGTACATTTGGTTACTCCCAAAGTCCCTAGGCTGAGGGACCCAGCCCAGGACAGCAACAAGCAGCAGCTGTGGCGTACAGACTGCTTGGACATGTTGCTCGTCACAGAAAACCTCCAATTATTGATCAGCAGCTGGTGTGGTGGCACACACACCCAGCTGAGTTTCTCTTGACACAAGTAAACATGGTTTATCTATTCTACTACTATATGTAGTAGAATATTCCAAAACCATAAAAGCTTTCTATGCAGGCATGGCGACTCTAAGATTAGTTACTGGAAAGTGTAAGTTTTATTACATTTCAAGTGGCTGCAGAGGGAAAGCGAGGCGTTCTAGATAGATGAGTAGGTGAGGCCTGACAGTGTCCGTGGGACACTTCCAAAGCCTTTAATCTTACCAGTGCACTCCCTGCCTCTACAAGTACCATGCTGGGAGTAGAGCTTCTTAGCATTTTAAGGTTTGTTTTTACAATTTCAAGATTCCGAATGATCAAAATGATTAATGAACCATTTGTTTCCCTTTCCCTCAACTTCAAAAACTCTGACTTTAAAGATTATTGCATGACAAAGAAGAAGCCGGTTCCAGAGCAGAAAGGAACAAAAGATTCTAGACAAGATTTCCATCCACCCATGCCTGGATTTGGTACAGCTGCTTTAAACACATCTTCCAAGAGTCCTCCGGAGAACTCAAGTCCTTGTCTTCCTTATTCTTCTGAATTCCCTTTATGCTATTTTGCCTCCAAAAGCACATGTTCACCTGGGGACCACGTGGACAGAGCATCAGACTCCTGCAGTAGTGCTAGGAAGCCTGGTGAACTGCCGAAGCATCGTGACCACAGTGCCTTTTCTCCAAAACTGCAGATGAACACTTACAAAAATTCTGGCCCTTGCTCTAGTGTGCAAGAGGCCATCGCTACCTCACAGGCAGTTGGCAGATTTATGCCTAGGACAACACAGCTGCAGGAGAGGAGAAGGCGGCGAGACTGTGACCATGACACTAACACAAGCAGTGACGAGGTTTTGATTGGACCTAAGTTGCCAGGTATTCCCACAGTGGATCTGCAGGATGAGTCCTTGAACACAACGGCAAACTTAATCAGGAGTAAACTTAAAGAGGTGAGCTCGCTCTTTCTTTCTTTCTTTTTTAATTGAGATAACTTAATTGTGAGACCAACAACTTGATAGGAAATTATTTGGAGGAACTAAAACTTTATAATTATTTGGTTTTGTTGTCTTTTCCAACCTTTATCTTCTAAAATAACAAATTTGGCCGGGCGGTGGTGGCGCACGCCTTTAATCCCAGCACTTGGGAGGCAGAGGCAGGCGGATTTCTGAGTTCAAGAGTTCGAGGCTAGCCTGGTCTACAGAGTGAGTTCCAGGACAGCCAGGGCTACACAGAGAAACCCTGTCTCGAAAAAAAAAAAAAAAAAACTAAAATAACAAATTTGATCAAGATCTATTTGATTTGACAGTCATTTTTTTTTTAAGATTTATTTACTTATATATGTGATTACACTGTAACTCTCTTCATACACACCAGAAGGGGCATCGGATCCCATTACAGATGGTTGTGAGCCAACATGTGGTTGCTGGGAATTGAACTCAGGACCTCTGGAAGAGCAGTCAGTGCTCCTAACCATTGAGCCATCTCTCCAGCCCTCTTGATAGTCATTCTTGGTTTAATAATGAACAGATATTTTTATATCAGTGTAGACACAAAATGCTAAATGTTCCAATCAGACTGTGACAGTTGATTCCAGATATTGTCTCTCCTCGCTTCCCTGTTTCAAGCTCCCTAGCTAGTAATAGCATAAGCAAAATTGACAGTTATAATCGATTATTTCTCTTAAAGTCAGTTACTGCAGATTACATCAGAGTCAAAATACTTTTATAATAAATATTCATAAGGGGGAATGATTTTGATTAATTGTTTTAAAGATTCATTTATTTATTTTATATGAGTACACTGTAGCTGTCTTCAGACACACCAGAAGAGGGCATCGGATCCCATTACAGATGGTTGTGAGCCACCATGTGGGTGCTGGGAATTGAACTCAGGACCTCTGGAAGAGCAGCCAGTGCTCTTAACTGCTGAGCCATCTCTCCTAGCCCTGATTTTGATTAATTAATTAATCAATTAACTTTGTTGGGAACAGAACTCAGGGATGTGTGTGTTAGGCAAATGCTCTGTCACTGCCACATCCCCAGCCACAAAGTGAGATTTCTAAAGACTGAGTCCATGGTTGCCTGCACTCGACATTTTATGTGTGAACCTCTAAGCTCTGAACTAGTTGGAGATCAGATTGTCTTCCCCCCCTGTTATTTCTATTATTTTCCATTTTCTTAGCCAACTCCCAGGTCATTGAGCCCTGCCCACACGGGTGCCCACACAGGTGCCCACACGGGCACTCACACGGGCACTCACAAGGTGCTCTCCTGTTCTGCAGTGTGACTAGAGAAGCTAAAGTGGCTTTTTTTTTTGAAGAGTTTTGGTTTTGCCTAATTGAAACAGTAAAAGTGTATGAACGTGGTTTTTATGTTTAAGTCTACCTAAGTTTTTCAATGTATGTCAGCACCTTCCTTCCTTCCGGTGCACTGCACTAAGGCATAGATACAGACTCATGGATGTCTCAGTCAGGACCAACTTCATTTAAAATGTAAAGTCTACATCTCGGCGAATTAATAGGACAACAAAAAAATGTGTAATATACCTCACCACAGTTTAAATCAAGATGGTCTTATACTGCTTTCGACTTACTGTTAAGTTATTTTTGGTAATGGAATAATAACAGTGTGTTCAGGATCCATTGCAGCTGAGATCTCTGCAGAGCCAGTCTGGTCTACCTAGTAAGTGCCAGGTCAAGCCAGGCCAGTCAAAGTTACACTGTGAGGTCCTGTTCAAAAGTAAAACAAACCAGCAGGTAAAACCACGGTGTTTTATCTGTATCCTGTTGGTTTTCTTCACTGTGGCTGTTTCTGGAGTGAGGTGACTCCCAATGTGGTTTTAATTTGCATTTGTTTGATTGAGGTGAGATAGCATCCTCATACATTCTTTTGCATTTCCCTGATGGTGATGAGGAAAGGGTTTAATTGGCTTATATTTCTACTGCTGTTTATTATTGGAGGAAGTCAGGACAGGAACTCAAACAGGGCAGGAACCTGGAAGCAGGAGCTGATGCAGAGGCCATAGAGGGGTGCTGCTTACGTGCTCAGCCTACTTTCTTATACAACCCAGGACCACAGGCCCAGGAGTGGTACCACCCACCATGGCCTGGACTTTCCCCATCAATCACTAATTAAGAAAATGCCCTACAGCCAGATCTTATGGAAACATTTCATCCATTATGACAACACAGACTAGACAGCACATCTTGTCACTGTGGCTCTGTTATCAGACATAAGATCCTGTTCCATCTCTAGTCTTGCCCTCACAGCTTGGGATGGTTTTAACTCTTTAGGAGGCGTTCCTACTTCCATATGAATTTTAGGGGTTTTACCTTTATGAAGGATGTCTTTGACACTTTGATAAGGATTGTGTTTATTCTACAGATCACTTTCAAAAATAAAATCATTTTCACAATATTAATTCTGCCAGGGCCAGTGAAGTAGTTCAGCAGGTAAAGATACTTTCCACAAGCCTGACAGACAGCCTGAGTTCAATCCCAGGACTCACATGGTAGGAAGAGAGCCAATTTCCATAAGTTTTCCTCTGGCCTTCATATACGTGCTGTGGGCACATATGTATTCCCTTGTGCACAAATAAATGAATAAATGTAGTTTTCAAAATTAATTCTGCTGGGGTGGTGGCACAAGTCTTTAATCCTAGCACTTGGGAGGCAGAGGCAGGCAAAGCTCTGAATTTCAGGCCATCCTGGTCTACAGAGCCAGTTCTAGGACAGCCAAGACTACACAAAGAAACCCTAGAAACCGTGTCTTGAAAAACTTTTTAAAAAAAATTAATTCTGCCAAGGGCTGGTAAGATGGCTCAGTGGGTAGAGGCACTTGCTCCCTAATCTGAGCACCTGTGCTGTATTCCAGCACCTACTCCCACACGTAGTTCTGACATCTCTGTGTGCACTGTGCTGTAGGTGAGATGGGCAGAACAAGAAGTATAGATTGTTAAAGTTCTACAATCCAGGAACATGGGGAGTCTCGCCATTTTCTATTTTTCCTTCAGTGTCTTTTCTCACTAAGAGTTTGAATATAGAGGTCTTTGGCTTTCTAGTTATTTATTCCTGGGCTTAAGTATGTGGTATATATGTGTAAATATGTTCATGTATGTGTGTACATGGCTTCTCCTCTGTCACTTTTTACCTTATTTTTTGAAACAGGGTCTCTCATTTAACCTGGAGCTCACTGATTCAGCTAGACTTCCTGTCAGCAGGCTCCTGGGACGCTTTTGTGTCTGTCTCTGCTGTTGGAGATTATAGGTGTGCTCTACTGCACCTGGCCATTTTATAGGGCGCTGGAGATCAGAACTCAGGGCTTCGTTGTCTGCATGGCAAGCGCTTCACCACTGAGCCATCCTCCCAGACTGTTTGGGTCTGTTGTTGTTTATTGTGAATAGGATTTTATTACTGATTTTTTTTTCTTGGCTGGTTTATTGCTTTATAGAAAAGCTACTATTTTTTGTTTGTTGAGTTTATATATTTTGATGATAGTGCTTATCATAGTTGAGAGTTTTCTGGTCAGATCTTTAGAGTCTTTTAAGCATGGAGTTGTGTAGTCTAAGTAGAGTTCATACGACTTCTCCCTTTCCTCTCTTATGTTTCTTGTCTCATTGCTCTGACTCACAATACCATCCTGACTAAGAATGGAAAGAGTGGACACTTTTGTCTCTGTCCTGGGTATTAAAGGAAATGCTGTGTCTCCTCTGTCTACTGACATAAATGTATCATTTCTGTTCTTGAGTCTGTGCTGTATTGATTGATTTACCTATGTGGACCTTCCTGGAAATCTTCAAATGAAACTGACTTAGTCATGGTTCTGTGATCTTAATGTGTTCTTCTATTCAACTTGCAGTATGTATCAAGAATGTTTACTTACGTGTTGATCAGAGGGATCGGGCTATGGTTTTCTTGTTTGTTGTGTGGTGTATGACTTGTGGGGTGATACTGCTTTATAGAATGAGTCAGGTAATGTTCCTTCCTTACTCTTCTGCTTTCTTACCTAGTGTGAGGAGGGTTGTAATTAGCCTTTCTTTAAGCATTAGTGGGATTCAGAAGTGAATCCATTGGACTTGACTTTTCCAGGGACTTTTATTGATGCTTCAATCTTGTTGCTTGTTGTGGATATATTTAAATTGCTTATATCTTCTTGAGTTAATTTTAATAGGTCGTATTGTTAACCCCATTGCTCAACCTTTTTTGTTAAATTAAGCAAGCTTTATTTAATGTCAGACAGGGTTGTCTCCCTTATGTAGGGATTAAAAGAACAGCATTGAACACAGAAAGAAGAAAGTGGGATTTATATAGTTGAAGATCTGCAAGACTAGATTACATAGGAACTTGGCAGAACATCGTATCAGGGTGGAGGTCGGTGTATAGTGTGTGGAATATGTCAGATTCCAGAAAGTGGGCCAAGGCATGGTCAAAGTTTATAGAAAACAGGGATGAGTTTATTTTGACCTTGTAACAAGATGGCTTAAATGGGTCAGGCTGGTCCATCAATATGCCTGGAATTTACACATTTCTTCTAGATTTTTCCAGATTTTTGAAATATGTTTTCAAAGAATTCCCAAATGATTCTCTTAATTTTACTAGAATCTGTTTTAACTTCTGGTGTTTTGTTTGTTTGGTCAGTTGTCATCGTGTGTTTGTTCTTTCTCTCCCCCTCTCACCTTTCCCTCCCTCTCTTAGTCTGTTAATCTTACATTTGAAAGGATCCAAGTCCTTATTTGGTTGGTTCTATGTGCTGCTCTTTTCATCTAAATCTTTTTCGTTTCTGTCCCATCTTACTGTTGCTGTTGACTGCGTAGTGATTCTTTTTCTTTTTAAACCAGGTGACGTCATCTGTGCCAAAGCTTCCAGAGGACAGTAGAGAAGACATGTGTAAAAGTCACCCACGAAAACAAAGAAGAAGAATATAGCTGGCCTGCAGGGACTTAGTCTCGTCTTTTCTTTCTTTCTTCTTTGGAATCAGGGTTTCTCTGTGTAACTCTGGCTGTCCTGGAACTCACTCTGTAGACCAGGCTGGCCTTGGGCCTCTGCCGGGCATATGCCTCCATACCGGCTAAATTGGTATTTTCTGGAGAAATTCCCTATGTTTGGCCCATTTTAATTCTCCCAGGCGTCTTACCACTGCTGCTCTGAAGTTTTTCTTTAAACTGTTTGCAGATGTTTCCATCTTCCTTGGGTCTACACTCAATGTGGCAGAGACTGTGCTTCTCATACCGTATTAGTTCTTATATTACAATATGTAAATTGACTGATACAAACATAAAAATATGTAATGCAAATAAAGCCAATCAGCATCTGATTTTAATTCAAGTATTGAATAGTTTGTGTTCAAAAACTATCAGGGGGGTTGTTTTTGAATATCAGGGTTTCAAAATGAAAGCAGGTCTGTAAAGAAAAAATGCCAAGAAAATGTTAGAACAAGGTTGATATTAGAAACTTACATAATGTAACTTCTAAGACTAATTTACATCGAATATGCTGATGTAAAAGCTAATTTAGGAAAGTCTAGGTTTCTACACTGTCAGCACATCTGTACTTCTGTCAGCGGACTACCATGTCATTTTGTCAGGCTGTTTCCATTTTCTTTTCTGAGAAAAATAAACTGAGAAGGCACATGCTACACTGTGTGCTATGTGTATGTCATTGCTCGTCCTTAGGGGCCTCCTTCAGTGTGTTGTATCTGGCTCTGTCATATAAGGTTTGCGTTGCTTGCCATAGTGTGCCGATCTGCTTTGGCAGTACGGCTTTTCAGTGCTGGAACCTGCCAGCCAGGGGTTAGGTTCTGCGTGCGTGAGAGGCAGGTACACAGATTGCCATGCTAAAATCTCAGGTAAAAGACACAGTAATGGCCTACGACACATGGAGCTGGGCAGAACAAATGTCACGTGGATCAGGCCGCTCAGATATAAAGTGCTGAGTGTGTCTCTCTGTACCTCAGGACCCTGATGTGTTCTGAGTGTGAGAGAGCATTTGATTACCCACCTTCACCAGCATACACAGGAGTGGCCATGAGAGGGAAGAAGCAAGCATGGGCCACGTCAAGCAGGGAAGGAGAAAGAGGAGGAGGTGGGAGGCATCTTCAGGAGTTCCCACAGTGGAGGTACACAGACCACACTGCAGTGGAGCTGCGGAACCTGGCACCTGTCTACTAGGCTAAGCTGGCTAGCCAAGAAGCCCCAGGATCCTCCTGCCTCTGCCTCCTCAGTGCTGGGATTACAAGCACACTCCACGATGCCCAGCTTTTTACACAGGTGTTGTGAACTGAGATCAGGTTCCCCGCTTACTGGGAAGCCCTTTAGTAGCTGAGCTGTCTGTCCCATCAGCCATTAATCTCCTCGGTTTAATCAATACATTCGTTGATTAGAAGACGTCGTGGTTCTAGCACTTTACATACTTGCTCAACCTATTCATTAGTCAGTATTCCATCATGTAAGGAAGATAAGATAACTCTCCTTCGGGCTGGGTAAAGTGTGTCTCCATACTTCGGAAGACAGGAATTATGTGTAGCCAAAGAGGTAACAAATTAAATCAGAGTCTTTTAGCTATAATAACTGAAATAGTAATGTCATTTTTAGCCCTAAACTGGGATGAGGCTAATGATGGTATGATTGTCTTCAATTTGGCAATAGGCTGAAGTTGCAGAGATGAGAGGCTATTATCTAATCCTTTAACTTTTTTTTCCTTAATTGGGCCAGTGAGATGGCTCAGTGTATGAAGGCACTTGCTTTGAAACCTGACTACTTGAGTTCAGTTCCCTGGGATACTACACATTGTCTTCTGATCTCCACACAAGCCTTGGGGCATGTCTTAGATTGGGTTACTACTGCTATGATGAGACACCATGTCCAACAGCAAGCTGAGGACGAAAGGGTTATGCTGCTTCCACATCCTTAACTCCATCACTGAAGGAAGTCAAGACAGGAACTCAAACAGGGTTGGAACCTGAAGGCAGGAGCTGATGCAGAGGCATGGAGCACTGCTGCTCACTGGCTTGCTCCCCATGGCCTGTCCACCCTGTGTTCTTATAGAACCCAGAACCATAGCCCCAGGGGTAGCACTACCTACAATGGTCTTGGCCCTCTTCCATCAATCACTAAGAAATGCCCTTCAGCCTAACCTTATGGAGACATTTTCTCAGCTGAGGTCCCCTGCTTTCAGATGACTAGCTTGTGTCATGTTGACATAAAATTAGCCAGGACCTACACACACACACACACACACACACACACACACACGTTCTATACTTTTAATAAAAAGTTTCCCTCATCTACTTTAAGCTCTTAGTATTTGTAATTCTACCTTTGCATCTGGTAAACACGGTCCAAACGCCTCCAACAAAAGTCCGTCTTTTTTCACTGCTTTTTCAAAGTCTGCAAAAGAGATCTTGCCATCATTGTCATAGTCCTAGAGAGAAAGATGATTTAGTGATAAATGGTAAAGTCTCCTTTTAATTTTACCATGGAAAACTAGCTATCTAGACTGCTAAGAAAAACTAAGTTCGTTCTCTTGAAGACATTATTTACACAAATCAATGGGAATTTATGAATAGACGTCACTGATTTTTTTATTCTAACCAGAGTCACCTTAGCTATACACAATGTAGCCCTGTCAATTACATACACTGGAATTGAGGAATAATGCAAAATATTGGGGGAACTATATTAACATACTGCCCCCTTTGCGATTAAGTAAGTAGTATGTCTCAGATTTGTTGAGCATAGTTTTATTCCGCCAGAGGCCTCTTATTTGGGAGCTCCTCAAGCAGGACAGACAGCTGTTAAGGTCAAGGCACCTGGAACAGCTGTCCTGACTGGACTAGAGTCATGGAATGGAGACTCAGGCTCCTGCTGGAATAAATACTAGAGGGCTTTGATCTAGGGAAGTATGGGGAACAAGCACAGTTCTGTCCACCTGCATTACAGGAGGAAGCACGCGTCTAAGTCCGTAAACTGTTCAGGACAAGGCTTTAAAAATTAAGTATGTTGTGTAGAGTGCAGGGGAGGAGGAATCTGTATGTGAATTACAAATGCCTTAGACTGCTGCTTCAGATTGAATAAGATGACCTTGATTTTTCATTTTTGTGCGTCAGTTCAGAATCTACTTTAGAGAAAAGTATGAGTGACCATCAGAATAAGGTGCAGCCCATTCATTTCCAGTCGAGAAAGGAATCTGGGAACAGCTTGTTGCGAAGAAGGCATCTGCACTCAGCCTGAGCAGCAGCTAGTATTTGTAAAATAAATACTCATACACAGAGCAGACAGACAGACAGACAGGCTCACAGTGTGGCTGGTCTTGAACATGTACCACCATGCCTAGCTGTTTCTTCTCTGAGCCTCTGAGTAATGTCAGTGAGTTTGTCAGGCCTGCCCTGGATTCACAAAACCTCACTCAAGACAGTTTAGGCTCCTCATAAGAGTGGACACCGCCATTCCTGTAATAAGGAGCCACTACTGTAAGGCTTTATTGCTAGGTGAATTCTGCACCACAATTTCTGTGCTTCAATTCTTCTCATCTACAAAGTAGAGATAATAGTTCAGTCGATAAAATGCATGAATACTATAGAGGGTCCCGAAGGCCTGCTATGTGGTAAGCACTCTCTAAGGATCAAAAGGGTTTTACTGTTATTTTGCTGAGATGATAGACTCAAAGAGTGAGGTCATGAAGACAGAAAGCAGCACGCAGTTTTGCATCCATTGCATCAAGCCCCCTCCCAAATTAATAAGCTTCTACTGAGAGTGATGCTTTTTAAAATAATTAAACTGACATTTATTTTACGTAATGATTATTTAGTCAGCAGACCATCCCTTGTCTCTTGGGAACCCACTTTAAGGGAAGCATTGTTCTGGGTAGTGGGTGGAGCAGAAAAGCAGGTGAGAACTGCCCACGGGGAAGTTGGTCATTGCGGAGAAGCGGCCATGGCTCACTCTGTAGCCTTAATGCCACAGCTACGTCCGTGAACGCAGCGTGGTGCCCAAGCTTACCATCTTCTTCAGGCTTATTTCTACCAAATCCTTTATTCCTTCTTCATTCTCTTCTTCAGGAGAGTTCTGGAAGAGACTATTCTTCAACATGTCAAAAATATTTTCTCGGGAAATATAAGCATCTCCATTTAAATAATAAACTTCAAAACAGACTTTATAAGGCGTAGGGATCAAAAATTGAACAAACAAAGTATCATTAGTTATTTCAGCAGAAGATAATAAAGGATAAACATACAATTACTGATCTGACAAACAGCTTCTTTTATGACAAAGAGCTTCTTGTTCAATTTCTTTCCACGGGAATAAATACCCCATGGTGGTTTGAATGTGCTTGGCTCAGGGAATGAGTGGCACTATTAGGAGGTGTGGCCTTGTTGAAGGAAGTGTGTCACTGTGGGGGTGGGCTTTGAGACCCTCCTCGTAGCTGCCTGGAAGCCAGTGTTCTCCTGTTTGCCTTTGGAACAAGATGTAGAACTCTCAGCTCCTCCAGCACCATGCCTGCCTAGATACCACCATGCTTCCCGCCATGATGATAAATGGACTGAACCTCAGAACCAGAAAGCTAGCCCAGATTAAATGTCCTTTATAAGAGTCGCCTTGGTCATGGTGTCTCTTTATGGAAACCCTAACTAAGACATACCCTTAGCAGGTGAAAGAACAGCTCACAGTTCCTGGATTTGGGGTTTGAAAATGGTATTAAATTGCAATAGAGGAGGTGGATTTTTATTGATCTACTTTTGTTTGTATGGTTACGTATGTGTGTTTACATGTGTGTGGTGTGTTTATATTTCTATTTATGCATATAGACCATAAAAATTATAAAAATGAACCACATACTTTTCTCTATCCTTGGAAAATGGTTTACATACACACACACACACATACACACACACACACACACAAGATAGTGAACTAGGTAAGCTCTTTGGGGTCTGCCCTTCTGTCCTATGTTCAGACTTCTCTCTGGAGAGTAATTTTTCTGTCTTCCACCTCAGATGACCTTACTCATATCCTGGGAAGGTGGCAGTGAAGTAGCTTTCCTGGAGTTTATTAATAGTCTAGTTAAATGTTTTAGCAAACACCAGGAATATAAACTGGAGTGACAGATGAGTTGGGTATCCATTAAATTCCTCCAGTTCACAGCATAACATACAAGTTGAAGAACAAGCCTCCTGTAAAAAACAGTGGTCCCCTAGATGAGCTTCTAAGATGTGTAAGAAGGCTTTTGGGAAGCAGGATTGGAGAAGAAGCATCTTCCTCAGCGTGATCTATTTACTCTACTCAGCCACACAGCTATGTCCCCCCTAGCATTCCCACAAGGACTGACGACTTTGACATAGCTGTCCCATCCTCAGTGAGACTGATGTGAACCCTGCAAGGTTGGAGGAGAAGGAGAGCAGGGGGCGATGGGTTAGAGTGGTTGTTTTAAAATGTGTGAGGCCCTGGATTCAATCCCCAGCACTGCTATCCCAAACCTTGGAGAGTGGGAACTATCATGAAATATTAAATGGGAAGAGAACTACAGAAGAGCACAGAATTATTAAATCTCAGAAGTTTGGGTGTTCAAAACGCTGTTATATAAAGCTTTAGGTGCCTTTAGCTTAGACATATTTTTTATTAGAAAATCATGTGTATGTGT